CTGAAAGGGAAAGGGACAATATGCCATTTTAAAGCCTTAAGAGGAAGCCTGAAAGGGAAAGGGACAATATCTACTAGCAGTGGGCCTGGTCGTTACAAATGATATTAGAGCTAAACACCAGACGATGTGTCAGCCTTCTCGTTGTTCTTCGAAAGGGGGTAGACACGAGGCGGTGTGCCAGTAAGCCCTGCAGGGGGGTGGATTGTGATGTCCCACAGGGTGTAGAAACCTTCCCCTACAAACGCGTTTTTAAAGCCTTAAGAGAAAACTTGAAAGGGAAAGCTAAAGAGGAAAGCCTCAAACAGAAAGACAGCCAAAGAGGAAAACCTGAAAGGGAACGTCAAAGAGGAAAATATCTACTAGTAAGTCTGGTTAGTTACAGTAACCCATAAACCATTTGACTTATTGACTTTGACTTTTTTTAGTTAGGTTTTGTAAATATCATCACATATTGCTCAAGAGATTCAAAGGCAATGTTGTAGGTGAACTATTTAACTTTTTGACTTTAGTTTTTTCATTAAAAAATATTATCCTTAGTCCATGGTGTACCTCACTCATTAATGTGTACATTAGTCAAATAATAGCTGGTAGAATAATAAAAAGGAATAGCATTTTAATTTCCACCAATTATTTATAAAGAATATATTCTAAATATATTCGACAGTGATTTTATGAAAACATTTTTTATCCCAAAAAAAAATAGAAATAATAAAAAGAACGATTTTTAAAAATATTGGAAGAGAGAAAATGAGAAATAAATACACAGAAATTTAAGAAAAAAAATGTTATAAATAGATATAATAATAATAAATAAATAAATAAAAAGTAATTATTTACATCATTTCATGACAAAAATAAATTGAAATATAAGGATTTAAAAAAATAAAAAAAATGATAGTCGATAATACTACAGATATGCATGGATAACACGTCTTTTGTAACTTTTATTTAACATTATTAAATTGAATGATTATATATATGTCTTTATGTGATATGCATGCATTCATATATGATGGATCGTGATTTTGTATGACTATATACATGATACACGAGATTTCATGAATATGAACGTGATTATGCATATGTATTTCGAGGCGTTAAAAAATTAATTCGATACATGTTATTGTGTATCGTATCATTAAAGTAACAATTTAAAAGGTTGGACCTCAAACATATTGTATGTTCATTTTATTAATTTTATGATCATTTTTATTAATTTAGTCTATTTTTTAATATAAACATCATATAAGGGATATCTGAACCTCAAACATCTTGGTCGATAGATCATATTTTGTGTTACTTTTTTTTAAATATACCTTTATATTATGTGAGATCTTACATCAGTTGGGGAGGAAAACGAAACATTGAAACCTCTTTTTAGCAGACGCGTTTTTAAAACCTTGAGGGGAAGTATGAGTGAGAAAACCCGATGAAGATAATATTTGCTAGCAGTAGGGCTCTGAGCTGTTATAAATGATATCAGAGCCAAACACTGGATGACGTGTCGGTGAGGAGGCTGAGCCCCGAAAGAAGGTGGACACGAGGCAATGTGCCAGCAAGGACGTTGAATTCCAAAGTGAGGTGGATTGGGGGTCTCACAGACGTTAGACCACGATGAAAGTTGATTGTGAGATCTTATGTGGATTGTGGAGAAAATAAATAAATAAATATATTTGTACTATGATTGGAAATCATTCATATTTGGAATTTTTTAAAATCTTTTTTCCTTATAAAAATTATTTAAATAAATTGTGGAATTACACGTGCGACAAATCATACCTGTCCGACTCATTGTGTTCTATTTGTATATTTCTTCCTCAAATTATTTATTTATCTCAATTTCCTTTTTTTTTATTTATTTGTATATTTCTTCTAGCATAATTAGTAATATTGACCATAATTATTAATATCCACCGCTTAAAAAACTTAATAATATATTAATGAAAAATTAATTATTTAAAATTATTTTAATTATTTGACTTAATAAATATAAATGAACTAATATAATATTAGGAGAATTAAAAAAATATTATTTATTTATATAAAATTTTGATAATATTTCCTCTCTTAATTTATTTTATTTTGAAGAAATTTAATTAATTAATTGATCTTAATTTATAAAATTATTAATAATTATAATAATTTTTTAAAATATATATTTAATTTATTTTGATGAAAAAATATTAAATAAATGAATTGCTAATTTACTCAAACTCATTTTAAAACTATCTAAAATAAAATTGTTAAAATTACTTTATAGTAACATCAAAAACATTTTCGAGACTTGACTATGTAGAGAATTAAGAACGTAATTTCACGACATGAAGTTCACTCATTTCTACACCGGGTTTAGTATAGGAGTAATTCCTTTAATTATTGATTTTGAGACTTGAATAATGGGCCGACCCTTGTACTAGCTCAAGAGTAACTTAATTTATGGTTGAATTATAAATAAATTATTCATTAGAATATCGGTATTACTGTAGACATAAAATGTAATTATGGGAGTTAAAATAACTTTTAACCTAACTGTAATTAGAACATCTCGAGAAAAAACATCTCGTAAAAGTTATTGTGTATAGCTAAATCACAATAACTTAGTATTAATTCACCGAACTTAATGTTCCAAGTTTAAAATCAAGATTTATCAAATACTTATTACCGATAATTATTTGAAAACGTACGACTAATCCTAAACAGATCCACCTAAATTCAATCGAATAGTTACGATCGTTGTCGTTGTCGTTGACTATCCTAGCATGGGAATGAAATGGATTTTAGTGCAAATAAGAATGTAAAATAGACGATGGAAGACTTGGTCAAAATCCAAGTGTTGAATAAAAGAGGAATTCTTTCAATTCCAAGGGTGAGTTTGAATGGGTCAAAATCTAAAGTCCATGCGCCATCTGTCCTCCTCATCGCCACCGTCCTATTGCTTTCCCGCTTTTGGTGGTCTTCACGCGTCAATTTCTATATTAATACAATATATACATATACACATACATACATATGTGTGTGTATCTATGTATGTGTATATGTATATGTATATGCATGTATACGTATATATATGTATATATATAATGGACTCCGATCTAATTTGTGGGCGTTTAAACAACTGAATGTATGTGAATATCGTAGACTTTTTTTTATGTGATATTATTGTATGTTATGATATTTTAGTGACTTTTCGTGTTGCGTGTAGTTCTTATTTATAGAATATGTTTGCTATATTGATACGAGTGCGTTCATGCCATGTAAGTACTGTGTATGAAACACTGTGAATATGTATGCACATCTCATAGGGATTTCGTGTCATGTTAAGTAGGGAAGTATTATGGGTATAAAATTTAATGTGGGACCTCATGTATGTTGTTTGCTATATGAGTATGAATTGCTTCTCTAGTATGTTATGCATGAATGCAAACACTATAATATTAGATGTTGTGACAACGAAAGCTCACTGCTAGCATATATTGTCCGTTTTGGGTCGTTATATATTACCATCAGCCTCATGGTTTTAAAATGCGTTTGCTGGTGGTGGATTTGGACGGTTACAAATGGTATCAGAGACAGACATTGGGCAGTGTGGTAGCGAGGACATTGGGTCTCATGGTTTTAAAACGCGTTTGCTGGTGGTGGATTTGGACGGTTACAAATGGTATTAGAGCCAAACATTGGGCAGTGTGCTAGCGAGGATGCAGGGCTCCAATGGAGGTGGATTGTGAGGTCCCGTCGGTTGGAGGGAGGAGGGAAGCATTATTTATAAGAGTGTGAAAACCTCTTCCTAGTGGAAAAGCTCAAAGAGAACAATATCTGCTAGCATTGGCTTCAACTGCTACATACATGTTCTTTTTTTTATTTTATTGGTTTTCGGTAGTGTGAGTGTGTACTAGCCCATAGTCAGGCCTAGACGAGTCGATCGTGATTACGTACAGAGAAATAGTATGAATTGAAGAAAGTAAAACCGAAAATGCTGGTGGGCGGGCCACGTCTGAGGACCGTTTCATGCGCTGAAGGCCCTCGTGGGTCGTTAGTCTGCTGCTGGGCCGCACTCGTGGGCCTGGAGTGCTGCTGGACCGTGGGCTTCAATGTTGGGTCGATTTTTGCATTGGACTTCTGGGCTTGACCGTGGGCTGGCCTTCGGAATCGAGAGCTAGGTTGCCCTGTGTGGCCTGCTCCTGGTGGTAGTTGGGTCTCGGGATAACCCGACCCGTACCCGAACCTGAATTCAACCCGATCTATTTTTTTTTTTTTTAACAAATTTTAGTTTAAACTTTAATAAAACTGTAATAGATGATATTTTATATTTTAAAAAAATAAGATTTAATTATTAATTTATTACTGAGAAAACTAATAAAAATAAAGAAAAATTTATAAATTAAGAAATTAAAAAACATGCAAAATGAAGAGAGAGGAGAGAGAGAGTAGTTATGGGCCACAAAAGGAAGTTAGTTATAGTTAGGTATTGGTTAATTGTGGGGCACACAATTAGCTTAAGACAAAATTAAAAAATAATAAATCCAATAATAAATAAATATATAATTACACTCCACATTTTAAATGTTTTCATACGTGTATTTTTATTATATATTTAAAAGCTCAAAAGTATTATTATTATTATTTAATAGTAACGTATTTAGAAAATATCTATATAAAATTTATTTTTAAAATTGGCATTAACGTTTTTAATCTTTATAAAAAACTTTAAAAACTTTTTAGGATATTTTATATATTTTTTAAATTTGATGAAAAGTTGGAAACAATATTTTAAAAAGAAATTATTAATCGATTTAATAAAAAATTAACGGTAAAAATATTTTTTAATTTTTTTTTTAAAGTTAAAGGTAATTTAAATTTAATAAACGATTATTATTTTGGATAAAGTGGAAAGTTGATGGACAGTGCAATAATAATAATAATAATGATAATGATAATAATAATAATAATAATAATAATAATAGAAATGACGTGTTAAATAAGCGAGCAAATTTTTCAAGGAAGGCCATCAGTCGAGTGGTTGACCAAATTCCTACCACAGTTGCCCATCTTCTTCTCCATTCTCCTTGTTTACTGGAGGAGATTCCATTCTTCCATGGATTCCGCCCTCTCTGTTATGGCGTCCAATGCGCCTCTCTTCACTCTCTCCACCATTACCCGCAGCTTCTCCACGCTCAATTTCACCCACTCCCTCTCCATTTCCCCTATCTCCACTCTTTCTTTCTCGCTTCGCGCTGCAGTTCCTCCTCTCCACCGTCGTCACAAATTCATCTCCAACTCATCTTCTGGCAATGGAAATGGCGGCGTTCGAGGAGAGAGCGGTGGTGGTGGCGGCGGCGACGATGGTGGACCTGATGGCGGCGATGTCGGCTCGAACTTGCTTGCTGGAGAAGCTGAGGACGACGCTGCGCTGTCCGCAGACGCGATTGTTCTTGGTGTTGGAGTACGAGATGAGTTCTATCCGTTTTTAGTTTTTGATTTGTGCTAAATATTGATCGGTTTTGTGCTCTTTGTTGTAGGGGATGACGTGCAAGGGGTGTTCTGCGAGTGTCAAGAGGATTCTTGAGAGTCAGGTGGTTATGTAGTTAATAATTTCTTCTTGTATGTCTTGCTTATTCTTTGGTCATTGTAATTTATACCTGAATAGTTGAATTGCTGTCTGAAATGAGTTTGTAGATACTCTATAGGTGCTGATTCTTTTGTTTATCCTATCAAATATTTTTTTGAATTGATATATGAAAGCCAGCGATTGAACAGGGAGGGGTAGATTGTATAATAGCCGTTAGGATCGCACAACAATGCACACACTCATCGATACAAATCCTTTAGCCAATATTCCTCCTTGCATTTTCTCTATTCTATGTCTTCGTGTTCATCTTGATCGAGTGTGTGCGTTATTGTGCGATCTTAATAACTAGCATCAGAAATTCACCAAGATTTGTGAAGATGAAAAGCTCTAATACCATGTTAGGAATTACGAGTCTCCATTGATACGAGGCATTTTGGGGAACCCCAAAGTAAAGCCATAAGAGCTTATGCTCAAAGTGGACAATATTATGCCATTGTGGAGACTCGTGATTCTTCTAGCTCTCCAATACTTGTGTAATCAACCCGCTTATAATTTTGAATTGACTATTGTTGGATGATGAAAGTCCCACATCGGCTAATTTAGGGAATGATCATGAGTTTATAATCAAGGAATACTATCTCCATTGGCACGAGGCCTTTTGGGGAAGCCCAAAGCAAAGCCATGAGAGCTTATGCTTAAAGTGGACTCACGAGTCTCCATTGGTACAAGGCTTTTTGGGGAGCCCGAAGTAAAGCCACGAGAGCTTATGCTCAAAGTGGACAATATCATACCATAGTGGAAACTCGTAATTCTTCTAGCTCTCCAATACCGGTGTAATCAACCCGCTTATAATTTTGAATTGACCATGATTTTCATCTACTTTTCGAATTCACAGTAACAAATTTTCTCTGCCCTGTAAATAAACTTTCATTGTTCTTCTCGTTATATTATGGACAGCCACAAGTGTCACATGCTAGTGTTGACCTTGCTTCTGAGACCGCAGTCGTGTGGCCCGCAGCTGAAGCAAAAATCACACCCAACTGGCGGGAAGAGCTAGGAGAGGCACTTGCGAAGCATTTGACCACTTGTGGTTTTTCTTCTAAGGTTCAAGGTCAGCATCATAAATTCGTAAGTCACAATTCACAACTGCATCTGATTTATTATGTTATGTTCTTCTTCTTGTCAAGATTCACACTTCCAGTTCTTAGGGTTCTAAATTTTAATCTTCCTGCCTGGAAAGCTGCTTATCAATTCATTTTTCAAGTTTGTTTATTAGCTAAAACCCATCATCCCATCTCAACCTCCATGCTATTCCACGCTTGAGATTTTAAGCTAAGATATATGGTTTTCGTATGGTGCTTTTCTGTAGTATTATATTTAAAAGTTTAGACAATCTAGAATCTTGTATGCATCCTCTTGTCGTCTAGGTGAGCTCAGTTATAGTTGCTAGAATGAGCTAATTTTGTATTTCTCACCATATAGTTTGTTCATCAATTACTGGGAGATCTATGGCAGGAACCTCTGCAATCAATAATGGGATTCTGGGGTCTGAATTTGAATTTTGAGTTCATCATATCAGGATTCCCCATACATGATTGAATTACTAGGATTTTGCATAAACATCTCTATAAAAGCAAACATAGTTTTTGACCTGTTTGAAATGAAGTACGTGTTTGTGCAACTAATTGAGTACCAGCACGTAGCAGTGCTGTAAGTAATTAGAGAGCTTGATCCTTTTAAACGAAGGACTTTAGAGTGTGCGCTTTAGTTTGATTGCTGCTAGCGCGCTTTACTAAAAGACTCGGCATTCAGGCAAGCTACCCGACTATTATCCTCTTGTGCTCGCGAAATTTTCTTTGCACATACGTATTCAATAAGGCCCAACTTCTTTTCATTCTACACTTGGGATTCTACTTTATTCATGCATAATTCAAGAATTCAGTTGAAGCTTCTTTGTACTGTACAATTTGGCGACAACTGAGTTCCATAATATTAATCCCACTGATGTCTTACTAGTTATTACATTATCATTCTTGCATGCATTCTGATTCAACTAATGCATTCTGATGCTGAACGTGATGAGATTTTGCAGCTGTTTATTTGTTTTACATGTTTGAATTTCTTTCCGCACTAAGGCATATCCGAGGACTATTGGACTTTTCAGTTTACTTCTCTCTTATCTTTCTTCTTTTTTTCCTCGTCCCTCAGAAATTGGCATTTGAAACATTAAACCATATAATATTGTTGGGGATAGTAAACAAAACAAATCAGCATCTTGTACTGAAAACAATGAAGGGAAACGAGGTGACTCCGGGTGATATGCCAACGAGGAGGCTAAGCCCCAAAGGGGGATGGACATGAAGCGGTGTGCCAGCAAAGACGCTGGACCTCGAAGGGGGGTGGATTGTGAGGTCCCACATCGGTTGGGGAGGAGAACGAAGTATTCTTTATAAGGGTGTGGAAACCTCTCCCTAGTAGACGCGTTTTAAAAACCTTGAGGGGAAGCCCAAAAGGAAAAACACAAAGAGTACAATATCTGCTAGCGGTAGGCTTGACTTATATGAACAATGCTGGTTATTTACAGGACAAGGTGCTATAGGAGGGGACGTTTCACTATAGGAGGGGATGTCGCATACTGCGAGGAGAGTGACATATTTCAGGTATGTAGGAGTATAATTCTTTGAAGTTGATTACAAGCTATAGTGTATGTTTGGTTGTTTTTATGCGCCACGGATATTATTTGCTGATGTTGTGCTAGCTGTTTAGATTATTAGCATTTGAAAAATGTTACTTGAAAATTTATTTATGTAGTAGTTATGTATTAATGTTATATACAAGCCAAATGTAAAATGTCTATATGTTGATGGATATTTCTGGAAAAAATTCAAAAGATAATATATAATTAATAAATAAACATTAATTAAATGCATATGCTTTAGTATTGAGTTAAATGCATATGCTTTATATTATATTCACATTAGTCGCATTTTGTTACTTTTTTTTCTTAGGTTTTGTCACATAGAACAGCTAACAAATGGTAGTTGTATATCCTATTTGGCTCTTCACCAAGTCTATCTTTGCCATTCTTGTCTATTCAATGTCTCTATCTTGCTTATGCCTCGACTTGTTTTCAATTCTCATTCTGTGTGGTGTGTTAGATGATGCACCATCCTCCTTAGTTGTATCATGGCACTCGTCTAGGCCCTCGCATGGTCGGATGACGCTACTTGAGGGTTGCCGCTTCTCTTGTTGCAACGTAAGTGTTACAACCTACTCTTTTCATGGTATGGTTGTGACATTCTCTCCTACTTAACTTAGTCATCATCCTCTAAGACTTTCTCGGGGCACAATCGCATCGCGGATGTGATATTCTCCCTCACTTAAATTAGTCATTGTCCTCGATGACTTTTTCGAGACACAATCGCATCGTGGATTGTGACGATTTCATAATAGAATAGAAATGCTAATTCACCTTTTATACAAATGTTAATCACATGGATATATGAAAAATATTGACATAAATATGGATCCAAATTTAAAGATTTAAGATTTTCTTTTTTAAGTTTAAGGAATCTAGTATTTAAACTAGTTTATGGATGTTTTTGTAACACCCAAAATAAAGAAAAAAAAAAGTTTAGGAAATGTAGATGAACAAAGTCAATGGCATTAGGTCGGGACCATTTGGGTCGGAAATAGAGGGTTAGGTGAGGTGGTGATAGTTCGTGGAAAACCGTTCATCTTCACCATATCTCCTTGTTTCTTTTTTCTCTCTCATATTCAATTTATAGCCTAAAACATTCTTAAAATCAATTAACCAAACTTCTAAGGTTACTTGGTTACAATATTGTGAAACAAGAGAATGATGTCGACTCAACCCCTCCTTCTCTGAGTAAGCTCAATCGCGTTGTTTTCAACGATTATGGTTGACAAGGAAGAAAGAAACAAATGAATATTCTTTTAGAAAAATATAAAATAATACATCTACCGAGTCGAAAATTAAAGGAGAGTCTTGCAGGTGGACATCGACCTGAAATAAGATTTCAGATTGGCATCTTGATACAGTGACTGACATAATAAGTGACTGACATAATAATAAATGGAGTCTTATTTCAGATTGACATCTTCATACAGTGAAATAGAGTTCGTGAGGATTTCGCCTTGAAAAGAGCACACGTTTTAAGTAAAATTATCTAACATTCTTAATATTGTTTGATTCTCGTGGATGAAAAAAAAAAAAAAAAACACTTAAATCTATTTGCATCAATTTTATTAAAACATTTAAGTCTTAAGTATTTTTTAATAAAAAAGTTCAAAGTATTGATGTAAGTTTGAAAGTTAATAAATATTTTTACGAGGAATAAAATTGTGTAGAGATAGTGAGAGTGGTGTTCACATCACTTTAGAATCCGACCAACCCACCCAGATTATTTTTTTTTTGTTTGAATTGGATTGAATTTTTAGAAAATAAAAAATTCGAGTAAGTTTAAAGATTGACATTTTTTTGACTTAAAAATAAAATTACAATCCAAATTTACTGTCCTACTAAAAAAATAAGAACATTTTCACGTGATGCATCGAGTAAACATTTAATATTTGATTTGATGAGATTTTAGTTATTAACGCAACTTTTACTGTATTAGATAAATAAAATGTTTCATAATTAGAAACAAAAGGGTTCGGTTGGGTTAAATTTTGAAAAAATAAAAAATTTGGGTTAGTTTGTCGATTGACATTTTCTTGTAGGGTAAACTGACTAACTTGAAAATAGGATTAAAATCCAACCGTCACATTATAAAAATTAAAAATATTTGATATTTGAATTTTATAATAACCAATGAATCGAATTCATGTACGGAAGGTCATTCAGGGAAGAAGGATTTTACCGATCTGCCCCTCTCTCTGTATAAATATTCTATCTGGGCTCGTCAGGAAAGTTCGTTTCAGGGACCTTTCTTCTCCGTCGTCTCTAACCCAAACCCTAATCTTCATCTTCCAACCAACATGTCGCACTTCGGAAGGTCCGGTCCTCCAGATATTGCAGACACCTATTCGCTTCTCGTGCTCAACATTACCTTCCGTATGATTCCATATATCTCTCTTTTTCTTTCTCAAATTTCCTTGTTTCTTTTGTGTTTTCCTGTTTTGTATCGTATTCAGTCCCCACTGAGATATTTTTTGTTTTTTTTGTGTGTTTTTAGGAACCACTGCTGATGATCTCTACCCGCTGTTCCACAAGTATGGTAAGGTTGTCGATATCTTCATCCCCAGAGACCGAAGGTATGATTCCCTGCTTTGTTGCGTTTGTTTTCTTATGAAATTTGTTCGATTTCTGTGAGAGATGACGATGAATGTTTTTTTTTAATAGCTGGTAAGAGTTTTGTGTTTGTTAGATTAAACATTTTGAGGTTAGGATTGAATTGATTTCCTTCCATTGATATTCATCTGGTTCCTATGAAATTAGTTTGCACGTGAGGGTGAAATGATATTCTTCATTCAGCTTAAATTATGCTTGGGCTCAGTTGAGGGCTTTATTTATTTTTCTGTTTGTTCATCTTTTGTTAGCCATCCATCAATTATTCTCGTTTTGATTATTTCGTAATTGTCTCTTTTATTGTATCGTGGTTCAGAACTGGTGATTCTAGAGGTTTTGCATTTGTGCGTTACAAGTATGCAGATGAGGCTCAGAAAGCAGTGGAAAGGCTAGATGGTACCCCTGCCTCTTTGTTTGTTTCCTGTTGTTTGATTTTGTCCTTTTCCTCTTCAAGTGGAAGTAATTTGTAGATACAAGTTACAAGGAAGATGTTTTATATTTTTGTTGGACCGAAGGCTGATAATCTTATGGTCGTTATTCAAATCAGTTTGGGCGGGCCCTATAATATCAATATTTTCTGAATTAACTCCCTCACTTCTTTGTTAGTTCTGGTTTTGAATTACAATCATGCCTCTACTTACTTCCATTTGATCATTTCTATGCAGTTGGTTTGGGGAGCTAATCTGCTGCATATAAATTTGAAGCTGTATATATAATTAATTAATTATTTTTTTAAATTTTGTCATGTTCCAGGTATTGTGGTTGATGGACGAGAGATCACCGTTCAGTTTGCAAAATATGGTCCAAATGCAGAAAGGATGTGAGTAATGAAGTAGTGGTTTTCCTCGATGAATGCTCACGTTTGGGCCTAACTTCTCAACTCTTACATATTTGTTTTGCTAATTGGTGTTGTATTTATGTCAAAATATGCTTTTAGTCACAAAGGAAAGGTCAGTGAATCATTTCCAAAGTCGAGATACAGGTCTAGAAGTCGCAGTCCACGGAGACGGTAATTTTCTCTTCCACATCCCTATGAATTTTTTATATTGGGATTAAATATTTGTTGTCCTTATCCTTGAAGAATATTGTCTGGTCATTAGAGTTCCTTGGTGGAATTATTATTTCTTCAGCTTTAAGATGTTCAAGGGTGAAAGCTCCGGTTGAAATAGGATATTCGAGGAATATGATGCAGCCACATTTTTGAACCCTAAGATATTGTGTTAACTGTTTGTGCCTAGGATTACTTTAGCAAGCTCTTGTTTTCTGCTATCTCAGATATGAGGTTCGAAGATGCTGTTTTGTCCAAGTTTTTCATTCTTTTTTAGGTTAGATATGGTATGCTGTTTTAACATGAGATACTAGAATTATGGAAATGTAAAATGTTAGAAGATCTAAAAGGAGACTGTAGCAGTGAATTCTATATATGGCTATGAGTAGATAGTGGTGCTCGAACTTTTTCTTTCATGGAGTTCAAATTTTGACCATTTGCATGTAAAGTAACTACTTGGAATTTCTTACTTTCTTTCTATTAAGGCCCATTTCTTTATGAGCTTTTGTAGTTTTATCTTTATTTTTTAAAATTCAAGTTCCTAATTGAAATTTATTACTTTCAGACATCGGGATGATCACAGAGATAGGGATTATAGGAGAAGAAGTCGAAGCAGAAGTAGAAGCAGAAGCTTGGACAGGATTGATCATGATAGGCGTGGAAGAGAAAGGGAGAGGGAAAGAGACTATCGTAGGCGAAGCCGGAGCATCAGTCCTAGGCGGCCTAGTCCTGATTATTCCAAGGGGAGGGGAAGAGGACGCTACATTGACGAGCGTAGAAGCCGCAGCCGCAGCCGCAGCCGCAGCCGTAGCCATAGCCATAGCCAAAGTCGTGGCCGTGGTCGTGGTCGTTCTGTGGATAGGTTGTTAATTTCTTACAATTTTTATCCAGTTGGAAGAAAGTTGGGAATTGTATTTCTAATCATCTTTATCCATTTGGGAAAAAGTGGGGAAAATCTTATTTCTAATCAGTCATTGTTCTACATATTACAGTGCTTCTCCTGGTCGACAAAGCCCTAGTCCAAGGAGTGCATCTCCTCATAGGAGTCCATCTCCCAGGGGTGAAAGTCCTGAAAGAAATGGTGATGGTGGAAGGTCTCCAACTTCCAGGAGTGTTTCACCCCGAGGTCAACCTGCTGATTCAAGAAGCCCATCTCAACCAAATTCAGATGTTGATGTGAGTTGCATTATGAACTATTTTGAATGACTAGTCTAGACTTGTTGTTAGTAGTTAAATGTTTCACTTGTCTTAATGTTGACAGAAGTGAATACACTGATGGATGCAAGGAGAACTGTTGACATTTCCGAGCAGTGCAGGAATGGATGCTTTGAGGACTCGTTGATTAAAAATGTTATCAGACTATAAGTTCTAGTTTTGGTAGGACTTTCCTATGGTGTTCAATTCTCATATATTGAGCTTAATGTGCCTATCTACTATCTTGTATCAGTTTGATACTTTTTGGCTCTGCTGTCTGTATCCTTATATCCAGTCATAGGATATAGCTTGGGACATGTTCTTCTTCCTTTATATTTCTCCTCTCCACCCTGTAGTACTAGTAATATTTTATCTTGAGCAATTGTGGTGTCTTTTTCTTTTTCCCATTTTCCTTTTTTTTAATAAATGTTTTAGCTATCCTGATTCATCATTGAATCCTCTATTGGATTTTATAGTTATGTTCGGGGTAAGAGTGACCGGCGCCTGATTTGGCCGATGTTGATTTTGTGGCTCTTGATGCTGTTTCTGTGTGATAGATGGGTGATCGTGACTTTGATGCTGGTTGCAGCAGTTTGCTGATTTATCAGTATGATTGTCTATGCAGTATGATGTTGCTGTGGACAGTGTCTTAACTAATATTCACTGGATGAAAAAATTATTGGTAAGGTTTTGGCCACATTTTAAATGTTTTTAAAAACTTGATAATGCTTTTAGGATTTGATGTTTGGCCTGATTATTCATTCTGGTCTATCCAAGTTTTGAAAGTTGCACCTCACCTGCCAAGGAGATCTAGAGGCTTTGATATATAGGGTTGACCCTCCTCTGTTGATCGAATTTTACTCATAGCTGATGATGCATTTGAGATCGGTATTGATTTTAATGGCGAAGGCTGGATTAAGAAAACTTAGCTGCAGGTTTGATCTTTGCGTCCGAACATGATTGGCCACGGTAACATAAGTTTATAGTTTTGTGTATTAGTTTATAGTTGTGTATTATCCGAACATGACAGGTACTATCCCAAACATTTAAATCAATCTCTTGCTTGCTGCTTGATGTGGTGACTGACTTATTGTAGCTTTTGGATACACAATTGTTGCGGTGGTGTTTGATAGCAGATATCTTTATTGATGTACGATAGTCATCGGTTCGATTGATTGATTGATTCTGAAGTGCTAACGCTGTAGCTGGCTGTTGCTGCCCTTGTGGGGGTGAGGCTGGCAATGATGTTTGCAGTTTGCTTTGACAATGGATGCATTGATCTTTGCTTGCCTCAATATAAAGTTCTGCACGTATCGCTTGCTTCACGTCTGTAAGAAAATTTGCTTGATAAAAAATTCTGACATTGATTTGCAACATTTGGTCCGATTGCTAAATAAATTTAGTATGGTGAACACGTATGACTACTTGCTTGGTGAACACGATTCCTATATTGCTTTTAGCAGCAACTAGGTTTTGGATTTGGAAATACTGCCTATCTGATATTTTATCTATTGCTCGAAAGAGAGATGCTTTAACTGTGGCAGGAAGCAAGCTTGTTAGATTGCTTGCATCCTTTTTATGGTTTATTGGATTCCAGAGTCTGCTTTTAGATGCTTGCAGGTTTTTTACGTCAACAATTTTGTTTGCTCTAATTTTTGTTGAGTTTTGGTCTTGCTTCTACCTTTTATCCAAACAAAATATGAGGAACATAGACAAGTATTTCCAATGTTATCAGGTATGTTGTGTTGTGTTTGATCATTGATGGTCCAATTTGTTAAAGGTCTACATAGTTGAGGAATTTTGATATGTTGTCTGCATTGTGTGGCTGTCTCTTTATTTATTTTTTTTTTTTTTATCAAGTAATAATAATTGGAGTGGAAGATTAAATCATAAATTTTGGGTTGGTATTTGATGATTTAGTTACTGCTGTTGTTATGTATTGCTTGTCAGAGATCAAAGTGTTCAATATAAAACTTTTAAAGAGATCAAAACACAGAGAGGGAAAATGAGAAATATAAATGTAAAAATAACTCGGAGAGATTGAGAAATAGAAAGACAATGTATGTGACTAGTAGGACAGAAAACCTATTTGCTCTTGGATCCCACATTCTCTACACATAGACCTACTACGAGAGTATCTATCAAACCTCTTATGCCTAACTATATGCATACATACATTTACAATTGTGTGTGTGTACGATAACTCATGAGCATTGTATTGCATATGCTAATTATACGACAAACAATTCATCCAACCAAGTCCTAAGTAACATTAAGTTTTGATTAGAAGAGAAAGAGAACGAACCAAGTTTGATTGATATCCAATGCATCCATGAGTGAACCCAACACACTACTCTACCATCAAAATCAGGCAATCCCATGAAACAAAGGTATATATACCAGCACAATTAAGCTTTCAAACCCTTAAAACTAATACAACAAGAATCAACCAGACAACTTCAATGTTCCCAGCCATATATATAATAAGATAAGTGCAAAAATGCAATCAAACTAAGAAAGTCACTGAGCATACCATTGCCCAGATGTAGCAGAACAGAAGAGTCCTGTAGATGAATCATAATAATACCCCAAACTGCTACTGTAATAATAACTGAAGATAAAAATTCAAATGGCGTTACATACGTATACCGAGTCAAGAGTTCAAGGAAAATAACGGAAAAGAAGATATCTCATATAATATTGAGAAGAATGACATAGAGTATTATATTGTTAGGATCTTTCTAACAAGAAACTAAAGATACAGCTATGTTGCAATACCATAAGAAATTATAGTAGCAAAAGTGTTTCGAGAGGGAGAGGGAGAGGGCTGTCTGTGAGATCCCATATTGGTTGGGGAGGATATCAAAGTATTATTTATAAGGGTGTGGAAACCCTAAACCCTAGCAGATGCGTTCTAAAAGCCTTGGGGGAAAGGTATTATTGAGGAGTTGGGCAAATTTTGAAACTGGTATTATTGAGGAGTTGGGCAAATTTTGAAACTGGTATTATTGAGGAGTTGGGCAAATTTTGAAACTCCCTAGAGATGCAAACCCGAACAAAAAAAAGTGTCATGCTTTCTAGGTAAGTGGCACCTAGGAACCTGCCAAGACTCAGAGGTTCACCAACGGCCTAAATGGGGACATTCAGGGGCAAGTGTCGGCCCATACAACATACGACTATGTTGAAGCTGTCAGGGTGGCCACTCTACAATGCCAACCGCCAAAACACAAGGGTTTAACAATCAACAAGGCTTCAAAACAAGGTTCGACCTAAACTCTTCCAAGTCTCAGCAGCAAGCTCCACAGAGACAGTTTGATCTACAACAAGCACCACGAGGGCAGTTTAATCGACAGCCACCTTCAACTATTGAGAGACCAAAATGTGGGCGTTGTGGTAGAGATCATGATAGGAAGTGCATAGATGGTTCAAGAGCTTGTTTTAACTATGGAAAAAGCGAGCACCGAATGGCCGACTGTCCCCATGCTCTTTGGTCCATTGGTTTCTCTGCCTTCACTACAGATATTACCTTTGGTACACTTTGGGACTTGGTGCCCTTGAATCTAAAACTTTCTCCCGATGGAGGCTAAAAAGGACTTCTCTTGCCTGGGAATCAATGTAGTCATAGTTCTTTGCGAGCCAATCCATTCCCAAGATGATGTCGAACTCAACCATGTCAATGACTATCAGCGTTACCTCAAGCTGGCGTTCCGCTACTACTATCATTCCCTCACTGATTCTCTCCTTAGGGCATTATCGTGCCAGCTGGAGTAGACACTGCCAGACTATACTCTAAAGGCTCTATCTATCCCTATTCGTGCTTGTCTAACGAATGTAGTAGATATAAAAGAATGGGTTGATCCAGAATCAAACAAGGCAAATGCGAAATAACCCAGTATTGGCAGTGTACATGTCACCATGTTTCCTGCATTCGTGGCTCGACGAGCTGTGGTAGCGTGAGCCATGCCTCGAGTTTGTACCTGCCCACCTCGATTCCCGTGGTTTGACCATGACGATCGGTTGGCAAATGTCTTCTTTTTATGGGGGGCCATTTGGTGCCCGCTTTTTCCACCGTTGAAACAAGCTCTTGAACCGACCATGCACTCCTCGTCATGGTCTCTACCACAATGCCTACATTTTGGTCTCTCAATAGTTGGAGGCGGCTGTCGATTAATCTGCCCTCGTGGTGCTTGTTGTTAATCAAACTGTCTCCGTGGAGCTTGCTACTGAGACCTAGAAAAGTTTAGGTCAAACCTTGTTTTGGAGCCTTGTTGATGGTTAGGCCCCTTGTGTTTTGGCGGGACATTGTAGAGGACAGTGGCCACCCTGACAGCTTCAGCATAGTTGTATGTTGTATGGGCTGACACTTGCCCCTAAATGTCCCAATTTAGGCCGTTGATGAAACCTCTCAGTCTTGGTCTCCTCTGTGCGCACAATGTCTGGGTGAAACGAGACAATTGAGCAAACTCGTGTTCATACTCCTCCACTGTCATTACCCCTTGCTTCGGCTGTATAAATTCTTCTTGTCTCTGAAATCTGATAATCCTGGGATACTACTTTTGAAAGAATGCCTCTCAGAACTGTTCCCATGTCATTGGCCCATGTTCTCGAAGGAGCGGAGAACCGACTCCTACCAGAAATTAGCTCGATTCTTCAGCATATAAGTTGCACAATAGACGTCAAGACAGTTCATGTACTTGAAGGCTAACTTGATGGCTTCCAACCAGCTTTTTGTCGCCTCTGTATCCAGGGCTCGCCCCTCAAATTGTGGGGGGTCACACTTCTTAAAGTCCCTTAGGTAGCGAGACTCTTCGAATGTAAATTGATCCTTCTGTCCTTGTCCCGGTCAGTTCGCCAATACCGCATCCACAATGTTTGTCTTGGATGGTCATGGTGGTCTGCAACAAGTTTTGCAGCTCCTCAACAGACATCATCACCATGTTTGCAGGGTGGTGGGGTCCCTGTGTCTGGCATTGGGACCTAGGTTTCCTCTATCTCAGGTGTCTCTTGCGAGGGAACATCTGTGGCGTGTGCCCACCTACCTCCTGTAGCTAACACCGCCTCTAGTTTCTGGAGCCATATATGTCAATTCACAAATCTCAGGTTAAGATTTATACATCACGTCTCTTGATATATCGTCATATATTTCACATTCAAAACTTGACATAAACTCAATCAATGAGTTCAATTCACTGAAGTATCTCAATTATTTATACTGTTCTTGCTTGGGCGTAGTTGAGCTGGGCTATGGAAGGCTCTAAGACTCTTTAAATGGTCTATCGAACCTATCAACCTAAAGCTCTTATACCGATCTGTAACGACCCGCTTTTCGAGAGACTCGAGCCATGGACCATTATTTATTGACATGGAAATAAGTAAAAATTAAGTAGAATTAAATTTTTTTAAATGTGCATACAAAGAAAGTTTAGATTTAGTACGAAATTGTTTAAAAATACATCACAACTACATACTCACACGACGCACACACAACAGAACATGATATAGATAGTTTGAGAAAATCCAGAAATACAAAAAAACACCAAGGTTCGTAAAGAAAACATATCAATGGGTACACGACACCAATCTAGCCCAACACTCCATAGCCCCCCCCAACTCGTGTGCGCCTCCGTCGCATCCACTCCATCACGTCTCATCTAAAATGAGTATATAAAATATACTCAGTTCGTTATTAAGTCTTATTAATTTTGTTTATACGTTCAGAATCTTATTCTCTTTTAAGTATTGTTACCTTCTCATTCTTCTCTCCCTTGTTCTTAGTCCTATCTACACCTATAGCCTTCATAATATTCTTAAGTTCTCTAGATCTATAGGTTAGTTATTTATGCTAGTCACTCATCATCATCACCATATCTCAAAGCCCTCGAGGCGCGAGGTGCTCAAGGTTCAGGCATTCTAGGAATCGACCAACTCTAAAGTGGCCTTCGCTATTTATGACAGGTTCATTTAAAGGAAACTAACTCGCAAACTTCCTATAAGTCCCCCACAAAGTACTATCTACAATTACAGGCCAGTTCTATAGTTATTCGGACCTTTGACAATCGAGCCAGGTTTACGATTAAAAGTTAGTTGGCGAACCCCTAATCGTCCCCATATAATCGCTAACTCACATGCATGAACAATACATCTCGTCCAACTCTAATATACCAATGTGGACCCCTATCACTCGTAACAGGTTCACTAATAGAAAGTTAATTGGCAAACTTCAAGTCCCTACAAGGTACCATCAATAATGAAATGACCAGTTCTATAGTTATTCGAACCCCTGACAATCGAACCAAGTTCATGTTTAGGGATTAGTTGGCGAACCCCTAACCGTCCCCGTATAACTGCTAATATCGGAACATATGTAACAAAGACATAACTTAATGATCTAATCATGGAAACCTAGTCATATATCATATATCTCAATCGTAAGACAATTCATACGCGCTTCAATAAACATACATAATCACATTTAACACGTCTCATCTCAACTCATTCTATGCTCAAACATATATAATCGGTTTTCCATAATATGCAGTAAATCATACTAAAGACATGCTCTCAATTTCGGTCATATCGTAACTCAATAGTTTATTTCTCAATAAACGTGCATCATAACGTGTAACATACTTTTACATACATCAAACCAACTCATTTCATGCTCAAATTTCTATGACTTACTCTTCATATCATACTTTCATGCATACTACGAGCATAGCTAATTCCAAGGTTCCAAGGTGCCACTTACCTGAAAAGCATGACACGTTTGGACACTTTTTGGTCCGAGTTTGCTTCTCTGCATAGTTACAAAATTTGCCAAACTCCTCCAATAATACCTAGGTTTGTAAAAATGAGGAATACCTATATTAACGTACAGCTGACCATAAATGATGAGAGAGAGAAAGCCACCTGTACCAACACTCCTGAGATATAAAGTAGAAGAAAAAGAAAAAGAAATGAAAGACAAGAATAGGAAATGGCAGAAGGGGTGGGGGGTTTGACCGAGGAAGCAAGGTTGAGCAAGAGGAAAGAGGCGAAACTTGAGAGAAGAGCAACAAAACTCGAGGCACTCGTGAGCAATGGCATTGGGACTCAAACGGCTGAGAAGGGGAGAACTTCGACGCTAAGCTTCTAGTGGTGTGTGTTAGACGAACACGACTCTCCACAATGGTATGATATTGTCCACTTTGAGCATAAGCTCTCATGACTTTGCTTTGGGCTTCCCCAAAAGGCCTCATACCAATGGAGGTAGTATTCCTCACTTATAAACCCATGATCACACCCTAAATTAGTCGATGTGGGACTTCCATCATCCAACAATGTGATCACCGTTGTTTTTCCCCCCAAAACCCTAACGCATTCGAGGGAGAGGTTGGTGGGTTTTCATGGACAACAAGACGCAGTGTACTGAGAGTGAAGAAGAATCTGGAAGAAGTCGAAATCCGCTGGACGCATTTTTGACCCGACCCGACCCGACCCGACCCGACCCGACCCGACCCGACCCGACCCGCATGTACAGAATTGAAACCCGATTACTCTTCAGCCTCCATGTTCTCATTATCCTGTCAATTGGGGGAAAATGTTTACGGGGAAATTAGTAGCTCTCCTTCCATTTAACTTTAACCTTAAAAAAAAAAAAAAAAAATTTGAAAAAGTGACAAGACAGGCTATATTAAAAGAAATTTTCTGTTCTAGTATTTCGAAATAGACGTCCAAATAGGAAAGGACTCCCTGAGGAACGGAAGACAAGCGTACTCGAATTTTAGGAAAAACGTTGGCTGGCCTTACTATAAGGATAGGTTGGACAATTGTTTGATACATGACGACACGTGCCTAATGGCCTCTGCACGTGTCATTTATGCTTTATACTTATGATGCATGACATGAATGAGTTATATGATGATGATGGATGATAACATAACGATGAAAGATTGTGGAATTTCCTTAATATGACATTATTTTCCATATTAAGATGAAGTGCATTTTTTAAATGTCACGACGACGATTTTCTTAGGACACAACCCTAACCGATAATGAAGGTATGAAGATCAATTTAGCTGACTAGAGAAAACCGATAAAGACAGGCTTTTAAGTTGTAATGATCCTAAAAAAAAGAACATACACAATCTTCACCAGTTGATGAAGAAACCAACCAGTGATAGCACTAAGCAAGGTACTAAAGATTAAATAATGAAACTAAACCTTACCTCATAGCTCACTTCAGCTGCCGATGTATCATTCACAAGGCCTCTGTTCTCTTCACTAAAGAGGTCAGCAGTCATTTGATTCGGTCGCTTTGCACGATCTTTGGCAGCAAGTCGAGGGTCTGTTAAATCATTTAGATTTGGGGGACAACCACCGTGGGGAACAACCACTTTCAGGTTGTGATATTCTCCCCTACTTAAAATAGTCATCGTCCTCGATGACTTCAGGTTGTGACATTCTCCCCCACTTAAACTAGTCATCGTCCTCGATGACTTCTTAGAGAACAACCATTGTTAGGCTGTGACACTCTCCCTCACTTGAACTAGTCATCGTCCTCGATGACTTACCTGAGGGAACAACCACCGTAAGGTTGTGACATTCTCTCCCACTTAAATTAGTCATCGTCCTCGATGACTTACTTGGGGAACAACCACTGTCAGGTTGTGACATTTTCTCCCACCTAAACCAGTTATCGTCCTCGATGACTTACCCGAGGGAACAACCACGGTTAGGTTGTGACATTCTCTCCCACTTAAACTGGTCATTGTCCTCGACGACTTACTCGAGGCACAACCACTCTTCCGATTGTGCCAACCCACACACCAGACCTCCTCCTCCCTACTCTCTAAGCAGAGTTACACTCCAATTAGATGCTCACAGAAAAATGGTCAGCAAATTACAAATTTTCGAAGAACTTTGTTCAGTATATACTCATTGTAAACATGACAATTTTATATTCAAACTTCTCACAAACATAATTTTTCAGTTCTAAAAATTAAGGAGCAAATTAGATGGAAATTTTTTAATCTTAAAACTGCTGTATACATTTCCATGAATTTAAGACAAACTAAAAGGGGAAACTCCTTGTTCCTCCCCTGAATCATACAACCAACAAGCTAATCAATTGAAAGCGCAACGAAAACTCAATTCGGAATTTGTGTGAGGCTAAAGAACTCCAAACACACAAGAAAAAGAAAAAGAAGAACATTAGGATGATCGAGGGTCAACAAATTGCGCAGAGGGTTTAATGGAATCACTGTGTTCTTCTTGTTGTTGAAAGAATCGAAGATTGAGAGAAGCGCAAGGAAGGCAAATAATTAGAAGAAAGAGAGAAGAATTAGAAACTTACGCAGTGGGTGGAGAGAGCCGCCATGTTCGTCTTCTAAGGAACGGCGCTTTTGGTGTATTGTCCTCCATGGAGGCACCGAACAGAATGAGCAACGGGCAGAAAGTTCTCAAGAATGTTATATTTCTTTAAGATTCAAATATTTTGCGTTTTTTTTTTCTTTTTTAATAATAATTATAAAAAAGAAACGGTTAGATTTTATATTTTGTTCTTAAAATTCATTTAAAAATAAAGTTTATTTATATCTTACTTTTTAAAAAAGTTTAAAATATTAATACAATTAAAAAATATTTACGAATTTTAAGCATAGTATTAACTCTATTAACGTCTTTTTTTACCGAACGAAAATCATTTATCTCTTCAATTTTAAAGTACCAAAGTTAAAATTTGATAAAAATTTTAATTTTTTTAATATAAAAATATTATTGTTAATTTTACTTTTATAAGGGCATTTTTGTTAAACAAACATAAATAATACGTATTTCATATAATTTAAAATTTTAATTATGTTTCAATTATTTTAAACATTTCAACTTTACTCTCGTATAATTAAAATTAACTCTAAAATTTTAGGAGAATTTTGTATAATTTACCTTTATTTTTATTTTTTTACCGCTAAGTAATTCAGTTTGAAGTAAAATTAACCATTGAGATCATTTAAATTTAGTTTAAAATATTCGAAATTTAGTCTCTAAACTTAAAATTTTATAATAATGTAGTTCTTAGACTTTCAAGATCGTCTATTTTGATTCTTAAACTTTTAAATATATAATATTGATTAAATTGGCTTAAACCCGATGATACTACTTACCTATAGCGTTAAAATTTTATGAATTTTTTGATAATCAAATGTTATAAAGTTATAAAATTATTCCATAAAAAATGATGAAGATATCAGTAATGCTCATGGTATCAACCTTTTTTTAACGGTCGGCTACTTTGGTTAAATTATCTTTTTATATGAACTCGTAAATTCTTTTGTTTTTTTTTTTAAAAATTTAAATAAAAGAGTTAAATGATCACATTTACCATTTAGCCCTTTAGCTCCATGTTTTATTCTTTGCTATAAACACATGCCATTGCAACACTTAGCTTGAGATAATCATCTAATTCTACTATATTTAGTTGCTAAGCAAACTCTCGAGGAATATTAAATCCTAGATATTACTACCATGTCTTGATCTTGATACTTTGAAGTCCTTAACTATTTCACGACCCTTAATGACCACCAGGTCAACCCATGGCCATGGTGGTCGGCGGTTGACCTGGTGGTCGGCACATGTCACCTTACAGTTCATCGTCAATCTCAAGAGAGAGTTTCACAATCAGATATCAAGAAAATTGTTGTAAAATTGCAAGAGCTTGTAAAACAGGTAAGTCTATAGGTTATTTGTAATCACAGAGAAAAATCATATGGAACAATATACATCATCTAGCAAGTGATTCACTATGGTACCACCGATTATGAGAATAGTAAAAGCTAAAAATTGCAATATGCTCAATATGACGATCAACTAAAGGAACAACGGTATGAGTCGTGTAAAGTAATGAAAGGAAAAGCATTGTACTAGAACCAAATTGAGCTGAAAAACTCTTGAGAATTAGAGTCCAAATCATTATATTCGCAAGTTGATATATAAAGAATATAAACAAGCAGCTCGTTGTTTGTTCGTTTTGTTTGTCAAGACTTTCTTTTTGTGTACAAAAGGGATGGTCAAATGGGCTGTCATAACTAGACCTAATATTATGTGAGATCCCACGTCGGTTGGGAAGAAGAACGAAACATTCTTTATAGGATATAGAAACCTCTCCCCAGTAGACACGTTTTAAAAACCTTGAAGGAAGCCTGAAAGGGAAAATCTAAAGAAGATAATATCGACTAGTGATGGGCTTCGACTGTTACGACCTTACTTAGATGTGTCTACTTGAGTGCTAATATTGACACAGAGTAGTAAAAAAGATGAAAGTAAGAGAATGATGAAGTTCTATCCATACATGATCGTATCCACACAATTTCAAAAGCCACATTATCCATACAACACTGAATTTGACAGAACATTTTGCTTTCAGAAGATCTAAGAAACCAAACTGGACTCAAGAAAACAACAGAACCTACTTATACTTCTTCGATCGTTACGCTAATCGCCTAATCGCCCTATCAGCAAAAGTATAACAAGTGTCAGTGATAGGGTGAAGAAAAAACCTTAAAGCCAAGTGAAATTCTGCTCTTCAGACAGTGAAGATCCTTTTGCTGCTTGAAGTTGAGTTGAACTTTGAAGCATGTAAAATTGGCTAACTATGCTACAATAGTTGATCGGTTATAAATAATGATTATAAAACCTACAATAACTTGAACTTTTATAAAAAAAAAAGTAATCCTAAAACAAGCCCTTGTTCTCAAAAACTATTTTCAACAAACAAATCAACAAAAACTAAACCGTAGTAAGTAAAAGACGTTGGGAGCGAATAACTTGTACGTTGTTCTTCAATCAAAAGTGATTTGAATTTTACTTATTCGTATTGTATAAACTAATGCTTCACTATGTTCAAAATAATATATTATGCACCATATTCCTAATCAGACTCAACCAGATTAACCATAGATATTTTACACTAAAACTTCACCCACGCAGAATAAGGAAAAAGGAAAAATACCAACACCCTAATTACCATCAAATATTATTCTTTACCACCGAGAGTTTGAATTATTGCTTCCAAGAGCTTGATATCCTTATCACGCTTGTTGATTTCCTCTTGCTTTGCACGCAATTCATCCATGTGCAGTTGAAATACCTCTGCAGTATCATTCAATAACATTAACAGAGTAATTTTAAAGAACACCCATCTCTGCGTGGAGATTTCTTATGGTACTATGCTATTGAAGAACAATAATTGCCTATTAATCAATATTCCGTCTATTATTATCGTTTCTATAAGAGACAATCACACCGATGGTCATTGGATTTGGTTAGACAATGTGTGGAGAAAGTCATGCAGCGAGCTATCAAACAATCAGTCGTGAACTCCAGAAAGGAAAGAAAGAACTAAATACAACCAAAGTCACCCACAATACTTCTTTTCCTTTATCAATACCGACTTCCCCTCTTTAAACATTAGTATAAACTATTTAGCCCAACAGCAGTCCTGATTGGTTGGAAAAAAAAAAAAAAAAAAAAAA